TTTCTGGTCTTTATTTCCTTTTACTTTGAGTTTTCATCAACTTGTTACTTAGAGGTGCATTTTAAAAATTCCAGATATGATTTTATATATTTGTTTTTTTATTACTAATTTCTAACTTATTTGCATTCTTATCAGAAAATATGGTCCAAATGTTATCCATTCTTGATACGTGTTGATACTTGGCTTTGTGTCCTACTTTTATATGTGCTTGAAAAGAATGCTTAAATTAGGTTCAGGGTTCCCTATGTCCACTAAATATAATGTTAATTTTGTTGTTCAAAGATTATATACTCTTAATAAGTTTTTTTAACAGAATTAATAACTGAAAGATACATGTTAAAAGATTGTGATTTTGCCAGATTTTTCCAGTAATTGTCATAATTTGAAGCTGTGTGTGCAATTTTATATCTTTGTAGTGAATTCTTCCTTTTTTCATGCTGGGGGATCATTTATCCTGTCATGCATGCACATCTTCTTTGTCCATTCATCAGGAAAATCAGGGTTCCAGACAGGTGTATAAGCTCCTTTCTGGGAGATAGATATTGGTGAGCTGTAACGAGGCAGAGTGTGTGCAAAGGTAGTGCCCACTGGCCTGAGAACACCTTCGCTGACTTCTAGGTGTGTGCCAAGCCTAACGACTGCCCTTTAGGCTAAAGCTCCAGAACAAGCAAATAGGCTTCTGTCACAGAAAGACTGGGTGTGTTTCAGTCTGCTCTGTGCAGTACCCTGGAGGTGGTAGTCTGCCAACAACTCTCTTCAATCACTACAGTCCCTTGGGTCTCAAGAACACGTGCCCATGGCCACCAGAGCTAGGAGATCAAGGGGTATCCCCTTAGCATCATCCACAAAACCAGGGCACTATACCCGTGTAAAACGCCACCCTGGGAGATGCTGGTGCTCCTGAGCACTGGCGGAGGCAGAGTGCGAACATAGTGCCTACTGGCTGGAGTGAGGTGGGGGGTAGTGTATAGAGATGGTGCCCACCAGCCCCTAGGTATGTGCTAAAATGAAGATGCTTGCCTCTCAGACTAACACTTTTAAGATTTGCAAATGAATCTCATTCACAGAAAGTCTGGGCACCTCTCAATTGGCTGCCTCTGCAATGAGCCCTGGAGTGAGTGAGTCTGAGAGTGCAAGCCCTTTAAGGGCATTTCTCAGATGATTATAGCCTTGTAGGTCTCCTGGATATGAGCCCATTGGTTTTTTTGGTGTGTTCCTGGAAGGAGATGAGACCAGGATCCTCCTACATTGCCATCTTGAGTGAGTTTCCTTTTTTTTTTCTTGATTTTAGAGGAAATAATAAAAAATGATGCTTGCTGTGTCTTTTGTAGCTACACTTTATCAGGTTATGGATATTTCTTTCTATTTTGGTTTTGCTAACAGTTTTTGTGCAAAGGTGTTGAATTTTATTAAATCTTTCTTTCCATGATAATTGAGATGCTAAGGCTCCTCTTAATCCTTTTTAATCTATTAATATGGTCAATTGCATTCATAGATTTTCTAATTTTACTACCCTTGCCTTGCTGGGATAAATAGAGTTTGGTCATTTTTTTCATATATATGGTATATAATAAATATGTGTAATATAATGTTACATAATAAATATGTATCATTATGATAGTAGACTTCTCAGAATTTCCCTAGGGTTCATAGTTTTTTTAAAAAATCTATTTTATTGATGCATAGTAGTTTAGAATTATCTTTTGGTGTCTTAAACATTTTTTCATTTCATGACTCTATCATTTATAATGCTTTTAAGTCCATTTTAATTGAGATTTATCTATCTCCTCCAGCTTTCTTTTGGTAGTATCTACCTACTGTATCTTTATTCCATCCCTTTAAATTCAAGCTTTCTGAGTTCTGAATGTTAAATAGTGTAGAATATAGAACTAGATTTAAAAAATCCAGTGTCAGTCTCTGTCCAGTAAGGTAAGTATGTTTCCATATATTTCAATTAATAATAAATAAATTTGGATTTGTTTCTGTTGCCATCTTGTGTGCTTTATGGTAACCTGAATTCTCTCGTCATTTCCCTTTTTTTCTCTGCTACTACTAAACTGTTAGTTTCCTCTACAACTTTGGAGATTGTACGTTTAATTTAGATTCTTCTGCAGTTAAACATAAAACTTCAGCTTCCATACTTGATTAGAAGCCTAAAGTTAATTAAGATTCCTGTATGCTCCTCTCAAACAAACAGAAGGATCTTAGAACACTGTAATTCCAATGACTGCATTACTAGCATTTTGGTTTTAACTTTTTAAAAATATACCTACAAAGTAGATGTTATTTATCACAGTCTTATACAGTTTATGTTGGTTTAGGTTTACAAGGATCTTTACCAGTTTTTTTGCTAACCAGTCCCTCTTGTATATATCACTTCATTTATACTCAATTTCATTTGTTTGTGTGGTATGTATTTCAGTAGACTTTTCAAAGAGGATCTGTTATCCTTTAGTTCTCCCAAGTCTTTGAAAAAGTCTTTAGTTCACTTTGATTCTTGAATAATCTAACTAGAAACCAAATTATAATTTTTTTTTTTTACTATTTTGAAACTACATTATTTTTGGTTTATATGGCTGCCACGGAATTCATCTAGCAGATTATTGTTTTGTGGGTAATCTTTTTTTCTGGTTGCTTTTAAGATTTTTCTCTTTGTGTTTGTTGTCTTGCAGTATTATTTTTATTTATCCTTGGTTCACAGTATTTACTAAATTTAAAGATTTATGTCTTTTATTCATCATTTCTAGTCATTATCACTTTCAGTGCTGTCTTGCTCCTATACTCTGTTCTCTTCTGGAGCTTCTATAAGGGATACCCTGAACATTCTGTTTCCTATCTATACTGCATTCAGGGCAATTCCATTTCATTTTTATAGTTTATTCATTCTCTCTTCAATTCTGTGTACCATTTAATCTTTACACTAAATTTTTAATTTTAAGTATTATATTTTTTTACTTCTGAAAGTTCTTTTTTAGGTTTTCAAAGTTAGCTTCCTTTTCTTAAATGTCTATAATAATTTTAGGGGGGAAGGTACAGCTCAGTAGTAGAGCACGTGTTTAGCATGCACAAGGTCCTGGGTTCAATTCCCAGTACTCCAGTAAGTAAGTAAGTAAGTAAATAAATAAATAAATAAACCTAGTTACCCCCCCCCAATTTTTTTAAATGTCTATAATAATTTTAAATATATTCTGTGTATATATATACACAATATATATAATTTTAAATATATTTTTTCTATTTCATAATTCTCTTATCTAAAGTCCTTGGGGTTTCATCTTCTATTTATCATCTTCTGACTCTTACTCATGGTAAATTGTTTCCTTGTGTGTTTACTCTATAATATTGAATTGTGAGTTCAGCATCACTGGAATTTTTCATATGTGGGTATCCAGCACAGCCTGAATTAAGGTGCATCAGTGAAGAAAGTAGTTCTCTTTCCTTTTGCCAAGCAACCCCCAAAATACTCACAGTAAAGCCACAGTGTTCTGAGACACACAGATAGTACAAATTTGAATCCCAAAGAGAAGCCAGGTCTATGCTAATAAATTCCCAGGAATGCCTTATTCTCTGTACGCAGAGCTAAGCTACGCTAAGCCGTGGAGGATGGATTCCCCCCCACCTTCTTTGTTCTTTTATTGAGGGTGAATCTCTTTAGGAGTCATGGCTATGTGTGTGGATCTCAATCCAACTCCTTACCCCGCAGGGACCTAAAACTTAGAAGCACCATAGGGTGCAGGGACCAGGAACTGTTTATTCCCAGGTAGTCACAGCATCAAGCATGCATCATCTAATCCTTTATCTCCTCTGTTCTCGGCCTCTGGGGATTACTCTCAGTATACAATCTTTAAAGTTAGTCATATATTTCAAAGGGTATTTACCATGGTTTATCCAGCGTTCCTTACAGTTTTGTAACTACGACTTTCAAGCTAGCTAACTGTCTGCCATAATTACTGGGGATGGAAGTCTAGAAAGATGCATCACCATCTTCTACTATGTCAATTAAAAAAAAAACTCTTAAGTCATCAAAACTGAACATACTCCCACTGTGGTCTGTCTAATCACGTTAGATCATTACATCATCATCTGGATCCACCAGATGTTTTATTTTTCTCAAACTGTATCACTGTTAGGAGCACCATTTTATAAATAAGGAAGCTGAAGCTTATTAGCTTAAAGTCACA